ATAATTATATATATATATATATATATATATATATATATTAAATAAAATATAAAGAAATAATAAAAATGATATAAAATTATAATATTTTATATTTAAGTTTATTAATAATTTATTGTTTTTTTTTTCGTTTTTATTGTAATTATAAAAAAAATATTCACTTATTTTCTATTACTTTATTACTAAAAAACTATTTTGATACTAATTTAATATACCAATGTTTTATATTTAAAAAAAAGTTTAAATTTAATATTACTATTATTATTTAATTTTATTGTATTAAAAGGAATTATAAAATAATTATTTATTTTTATATAAAGAAAATATTTTTTTAATTATATTATAAAATTTTCATTAATAATAATATATAATTTATTATTAGAATTTTAATTTATTTATATCAATAATAATTTATCATAAATTTATATATATATATATATATATATATATATAATTCAATAAAAATATTGCATTCCTATATAATAATAATGTAAAAAATATAAGTCAGATCATAATTTTTTTTATCTAATATCTTCTTATTTTTTAACTAAAACAATATATATATATATATATATATATATATATATATATTTACATAATATAAAATCTTAATCAACTATCATCGTTGTCATTTTTAACAACATCGTCACTTTCTTCATTCTGTATTAAATTAATATTTTCAACATCTGTTTCTTCTTTTTCATCAATAACTTTCATACAAGTAATTGGATTTTCGTTAGTCGTTGATTAAGCTAAGTCATTTCTATCTAAAGATAACACATGTTTATTGTCTTATACATCATTAGATATAAAAGAGATACAATCAATATCATCATTTTCCTGACATACTTCATGTATAGCTTCCTATAAGTATCGAGACTTTGTTTTTACTACAACAAACCAATTAGGATCATGGATGTCTTTTACATAGTACACTTGTTGAGTCCGACTAGCTAGGACATATGGTTCATTAGTCTTCCCTCTTCAATTTCACACCTTTTTCACATATGATTATGTTCTTATTTGAACCCTAAATTTTATATTTAAAAATAAATTTAGTTTTATAAATAATATTGTTTTAATTTTTAAAATCATTAGTTGATATTTATGTTTAAAATCATGTTTAAATTTTTAAAATATTTAAAGAATTATATAAAATAGATAATATTCTTATTTTAATCCATAAATTTTATATTTAAGAAAAGTTAGTTTTATAAATAATTTTGTTTTAATTTTTAAAATCATTAGTTGATATTAAAATCATGTTTAAAATTTTAAAATATTTAAAGAATTATATAAAACAAATAATATTCTTACTTTAATCCATAAATTTTATATTTAAAAACAAAGTTAGTTTTATAAATAATTTTGTTTTATTTTTAAAATATTTACGTTGTTTAAATTTTTAAAATATTTAAAGAATTATATAAAATAGATAATATTCATATTTTAATATAGATTTTGTTATAAAGATAAAGTTAGTCCGAGCTATACCTATTTTTTTTTAAATATTTTTTTAATTTAACAATTTTTTGAATATTAATTAATTTAAATCACATCAAAATCTTAATTAATAAATTAGAAAAATATTTTTTATATTAAATAAAAAGTAATTTAAATAATGAAATAAGAATGTTAAGAAAATCTTAATTAAAAAATATCATTATTTATTAAGATATTTTATTTATTTTATGTGTGTAATTTATATAGTTTATATTTTGTTTAAAATTCTCTTGCAACTTCTTTAAAATATAATATTTTATTTATTTATAATACATATTATGATAATGGAATTATAGTACGGTTGTGGTTCCCAATGTAACGTTTATCTTTTCTTCCACTAGTTGATGATTATTCCCAACATAACTCACATTTTCACCTTTTCTCTGCACAATTTTACAGTTACATGAGAAAAATTTTGACGCTCACAAATTGCCTCCAAAACGTGTTAGACAAATGACATCTAGATGAGTGAATAGAAGCACAAATTAAAATAGATGTCAAATTAAAAAATTTATTTGTGAGTCAATAATTTGTTTGAACACAAATAAAGTGGAAGCGATAATATAATCAGGAAAAGAGAAAGAGATATGGGAAAGAGAAGAGCATACAGTGATTTATACTGGTTCGGGTATAGCCTACCCTACATCCAGTTCCCAGTCAACTCTTAACACAAGAGTGACTCCCCATTCACTATCTTTCAAATTCAGTTTACAAATTACAATCAACTCAGCAGAAGAACCAGTAAAAAGTAAACTAATTAAAAAGATAATCACCTCCTTAGAAACTCACTAAGGATGAATACCTCCCTAGAATCCCACTAGGGATGAACACCTCCTCTAAACAAATCAAAGGATGAAAACACCTCCTTAGAATCCTACTAAGGATGAACACCTCCCTAGAATCACACTAGGGATGAAAAACACCTCCTTTTCACCAATACAAAAAGGATGAAGGTAATAAAAATAAGAACAGACACACCTGGGTAATGGAGACAACAAATTTTAGAAGCCTGTAGAATGCCAATCTCCAAGAACAAGTGTGATTAACAATGAAAGCACAAAAGACAGTAGAGAAGAGGGTTTTCTCAAAAGGTGTAAAATATCTCTGTTGCCTTGCTCAGAATTCTTTTCTCAAAACTGATTGAATGTAAATTGTATTTTCGAATTCTGTAATTGTGTTTTTTTTTCATCAAAACTTATTTAAATAGAAAAATAACATCAGAAAATGGCCGTTGGACATTAATAATATCATAGAGAAAATCAGGATGTATTCAAAAATATTTATTCTTTAAAACGAATATATTTTTTAAATTTGAATTGCCATAATTGATTATATTACCAATATAATCAATTATGATAGAGAAAATCATTTTTCTATTTCTGATGCATCATAATTAATTATGAGAGTGAAAAATATCATGTTATGAATTTTATCACACTTGTGCTTTGGAGGCTTATGCATAATATTACTTCATCAACTTGTACATCCATATCCAGCATTCTAAGACTCTATCTAGTCTGCAGGAATCATCTTAGGCTTGCTTGAATCATCATCTTTATCAAAAATATATCTTGGGCATGTAGGGAAATGTTTCACATTTTCACCAACGTCATAAATTCAGCTTGTCCTTAATTCATCTTGAATGGTGTTGACTTGAATGTAGTTGACTTGAATCATCATCAAAATCATCTCTTAGGAATGTAGGGACATTTCCATCAATCTCCCCCTCATTGTTTTCAATCTCCCCCTTTTTTATGCTGATCAAGGAAACACCTGAAATGAATTAAAATGCTTGACTCTATATAGCCAGTTCAAGATTAGCACAAATTTGTATCAAGTGTCAGAGTCTCTTAATCTCCGCCTGGATATATTAATAACAAGACTCCCCTTAACTCATATGAGCAAAGACTTCTCTTAACTCCCCTTGTTTAATTTAGATAGAAAAGAATTTCACACAGATTTTAATTCATCAAAAAATCTCTCCCTGTTTCATTGATAATTATAAAAAAATATTATAAGAGAAAAAAATCTCCCCCTGTTTCACACATATTAATATCATCAAAATATCTCCCTGTTTCATTGATAATTATGAAAAATATTATAAGATAAAAAATTTCCCCCTGTTTCACACAGATTAATATCATCAAAATATCTCTCTGTTTCATTGATAATTATGAAAAATATTGCAATAGAAACTGAGAACAAATTTGCACATATTAGTACATAAATCAAGGTAGAGAAGATAATGCATTACAAAGTGTCATAGAGAAGAATATCATATTAAAGAGACAATATCTAGATACCCAAGACAAATGAAGAGAGAGAAAGATAGGGGAATAAAATGATTATAGAGATAATGGAATGAAATGTAGTAGTTTCCCCCAATTGCAGTCTTTTTATTTAGACAACTTTCAAATTCAAATGCACTCATATTCCAGATTTCAAAATTCAAATTCAAATTGCAACAAATTTCAAATTTCAAATTTAAATTCCAACAAATTCCAAATTTCAAATTCAAATTTCAAATTCCAATTCAAATTCAATTTCAAAAATCTCAAACTGCAAAAATTTCAAATTTCAAAATCTCAAACTACAAAATTTCAAATTTCAAAAATCTCAAATTGCAAAATTTCAAATTTCAAAAATCTCATACTGCAAATTAAAAAAAAAAATCTCAAACTGCAAAATTTCAAATTTCAAGAATCTTAAACTGCAAAATTTCAAACTTTAATAATTTCAAATTTTCATAAATTCAAACTTTCAACATAATTGTTTATGACAACAAGAAAAAAAATTCTAATTCTGATAATCAGTTAGATGCTCAAATTATCATTTAGACATGTATAAATGTTTTGTTCCTTTAAGCACCCATTCATATTTGCCATTAGATATGCCAAAATGTTTTATGTAACATTTATTTGATGTATGACCTAATTTCATGCAATAAAAACATGTTGGTTTTCTTTGAAAAGGTCTAAATGCGTTTCTTAAAGTTTTTTAAACTGGTTTCACATCTGTTTTCCTTGACTCTTTCACAAAAATAGTTTTATGAGGTTCTAGACTTTCTTTGGGTTTGTAACCAAGTTCAGTTTTGCTAGAATTTCCACTTTGATAACCTAATATCGAATCAAGATTTTCAAAATATTTTGAAAAATTGCTTATTATTTTCTCTAAATTGAAAATCTCATTTTCCAAAAGATTACAATTTTCACAAGGTTTAACAACTTCTTTATTTTTAGACAAAGTTTTAGATTTTTCAACATCTTTCTTTAAACACTTATTTTTTTTTTCAAGAATACCAACCGTATTTTCTAATGCATTAAACTTTTGTCTAAGTGCATTGTATTTCTTAGATAACTTGGTAAAATTTTCATACATATCTTGATATTCTTTAAATAATTTATCATATTCATGTAAGAAATTTGTACTACTTACCTGTGATGAAACTTCATCACTTTTTGTCAACTAGCAAAGATTTACTTCTTCTTCTCCATGAATACTTTCGGTTTGCTTCTGCTCTTTCTCGTGCTTGGAACTGTGTGATTTAAACTCAGTTTCTCAAGAAAAGCTCCATGATGAACACAGCATCCAACCACATCATGGCCACGAATTCCGCTTTGGACATTTGAGCGAACTTCTCTGAATAGCAATGTCGAATGTTTTGTTCATTATTCTCGAGGTAGTGTACGTTTAAGACACACTCGGAGAAGAATTTCAAGTATCTTAGCTTGTGTTCTCCCATTGTGTTTAGTTCTTTTTTGAAGTGAATTGGGCCTATTGAGATTTGTTGAGGAGTGTATGCATCAGGCTTCACTTCTCGGAGATTGCATGGAACCTTGTAGATTTTACGCTCAGACTACCTTAGCTCTTCTAGGACTCCAATGTGGATCTCGTGTTTCACCCTATCAATAAATTTGGGCTCAGATGATGAAGCATCAGCATGTGCCATTGTTACACCAACCCAACTTCAAATTCCTTTAATTCAACAAGCACATGACTTTAGTACACAGAAACAAAAATCAAAGTACTACATCGTACACAGTGAAACTTATTCATCAACAACTATACTCTGTTTCCAATTAAACTTTCAACCACACAAATCATATGTGGCAAGACACCTGACTTCTTAAATGACCAGAGTTTACAAAACGGGCAGCAGATATGATCTTATAGATTAAATAGAATTATTCATAAAACCTGACTTAAACTCATATACTAATTTAAATAGGATGATTAAATAATTCTGATTCAATTTAAATCATAAAATTTTTAATCTAATCTAATCTTTCATCATCATACAAATGACTCCACCTAATACAAAATATATTATCTCAGTTATCTTCATTAATTTATTATTTGAAAGAGAATGAGTATTTTTTTTATCTTTATTAGGAGTTTCTAGTACGTTTATCTTGATACATAAAAGTTACACGTTAACAATATTTTCTCTAACACCGTCAATAATGCAGAAGATTTTTTACTGAAAAAGAGGTTCAGATCTAACATATATAACTCTTCAAAACAAATTGTATTATATTCTTTTTAACGTAAGATTACCTGTGTATCCTTACTGAAAAATGATATTATATAATAAATAAATTTAATTTCATAAAATCGATAACATAATCTTATAAACCATTAAAAAACGATGAAATTTATTATTTATAATAATGTTATAATTTGATGTATAGGTTTGTTGGATAACTTGCATTATAAGAATAATGTAACGAAGAGTTGTAGGTCTTTTCAGAATATTTTCTAAGAAAGGATAAGTCTAACTTATACAAAGATATCATTTTATAACCAAAATTTCATCATCTAATATTTTAAGATTTTTTTATTAAAAACGGTGTCAATATCTTAAATCAATTAAACTCATTTCATTGATGTTATTTCTTTCTTAAATCCTCTTCATAGATAAAAAAAAGGAGATGAGAAGAAATTAATAGAGAACATGTTTAGAAAGCAAAGTAGAGAAATGTAAAAATAAAAGAACGGAGACAACATGTGAAATGGAGAATGGACAGAGAATCTGTTACAGTGGAGGGAAATTGGAGTTTCGGGGTTTGTCTTGAATAGTAGTTGCTGATTTTATGTTGGCCAAACTTATAGGGTGATCATATTGACGAAGACTTCATGCAACTTTATTGAATGTATGAGTGAGAGTTGGTATGTACATGTCACATCAAATTCAATTTCATTTATGGAAAGATGTCTCACATTGTACGCGGTGTTATTAATATACGAAAGACATAGTAAATTGGATTGGACCACTGCCATAAATTGCTTATGCTATATCCTTTTATTTACACCAAATTTATAATTTTAGATGCAAAGTTTTATTCGATTATTTTTTACTTTGTTTTTATTACCTCCAACAACCTTATCAATCATTGATTGTTTTTCGATTTATTAGATATTTCTTAGAGGACTAATAATAAAGATTTTTACAAATGAAACCATAAATAAATCACAAAAGAATTTATAAGTCTATTTCTAACCTAAAAACATTATAAACTTAGTTTGTTTATTTTTTAGTTTATAATTCTTTCATTTTTACTTAATATAATATTACACTGTATTATGATCTAATTCTTCAAGGTTTAAAAAAAGTTCAGAAAATCTTAATTGCTTGTTTAATTAATGTGGTTATAACCTTGTAGATGCCAATGGTGTGGTGCTCATGTTGGACCCTCAATGATCAATTTGTGATTTTAGTTTGGTATATAATTTTAAGTTAAATACCTTTTTATTTTTAATAGAATTATATAAAAATATATCAAATTAAGAAAAATAATTATGAAGCAATGCCAATTCAATTTAAGAAATTAAAGAAATAAAATAAAAAATAAATATAAAAGATTACATAAAAATAAAGATGCTTATAACATACGTAATAATAGCTTTTTAATCAAAATTTTCTTTCTCTATTATTTTTATCAAAATTTTCTTTCTTAATGGTTATTTAAGAGTTTTTATTTATTTATTTTCATTTTATTAATTTTAAAAATAAGTTGAAAAATATTATTTCATAATTTTAGATTTAGAAAATCACAAAGTCTATAATTTATATATAAGTCATATAAAGCCTCTACTTTATTTATTTGATGCCAAACTTTTATATTATTGTATTTAAATTTGATTAGTTTAAAAAAAATCTCTTGTAAATTTTATAGATTTTAGAAATATAAGTTAATTATTTTAATAGTTAAATAATTTAAATTAATATTGTAAGAAATATATGATGGGTTTACACAAGAGTTTATCTAATTTCTGATGAAACTCTGGGAATAAAAATGAGAACTAAAATTTTAAATCTACTTTTTATAAATTCAAATCTACTCAACTTTTTTTGTGAAGATACGTTTAGGGTTCTTGTATAATTTAAAATTATCATTTTTAAAATACCTAAGTTTACTATTCTAATCAAACATCAAATGTAAGGAAGAGAAACGGAGAAACAAAAGAAACGATGAAAGATGGTAGACAATTCATAGTGGAAGCAGAATTTCAGGTCCATGCACTCTTTTTTTTCAATATCCAACTTTACATTTGCTAGAATTCTTAAATCTATGACAAGAAAAAAATTTGATTAAATTGCACCTACAAAATGTACTTCGATTATCAAAATATTAACTTTGAAAAATAATAGTTACTAAAATTTCTTCGTATTCTGATAGTAGTAAAATAATGACATAAAAAATTAATTACTATTTAAATTTTTTAAAAGACTAAATTGGAATATCTTTAACACGTAACCTTTAAAATGATTAATTTAATTAAAATATTTTATTGTTTTTTTTTCCTTAAAAAAAATAAACACTTATACTTTTAGTTTTAATCTATTTGTTTTCAATAAAATTACATATATTAGTTTAAATGTTTATATTTTACTTTATTTATATGTTTGAAGTTTGGTCTGAATTAATTTTATATTTTTTCTACAAATTTTGTTTTAGAAATATACTATGTTACCTGCAAAACATATAAATACTTCCTAAAATAATTAACCAAAATAAATTTTTATGTACAAAAATGTGACGCATGTACAATAGATCAGCATCGACGCCATCTACAATAAAGTTGGAAATGTTTATCATTTTCCTGTTCAACGTATTAAACTATTTTTATTTTATTTTATACAAATTAATAATTCTATCTTTATGTAATACTTTTACTTTTAATTTTCCAATTACTGGTTGGTAAACACGAAACAGACAAAATAAGAAATATTTATTTTAATCCTACAAAATTAATTAAGAAAAGTGAGAATTATCTTAAAATACGAGAATTATCTTTAATATCATAACATTATGATATTTTTAATTGATATGAGATTTTATCGTATTTTTTTTATCATAATAAGATAATTTTTTTATTAAAAAATAAAAAATTAGAAAAATTAAATCATTATATTTTAATCTCAGATTTTTATATTAAAAGTAAAAAACTTTTTTCTCCATTTTCTTTCTATTTTTTATATATGAAAAAAAAATTATCAATATCATTTATGTTTCTCTCATACTGTAGGTGATTCCGACTTTAAAGTCTTCAATCATAGTTAGATAATTGTTTGAAGAAGCTGCCAAACAAAAGCATGGGTTCATAATTTAAATAAAGTGGCATGAAGTCTACGTCAATTCCTACTTTTGGCCAACATAAAAGCACACACTCAGACAATAACAAGCATAGGCATGTTGAAAGGTGGCAACTCAAGAAGAGAAACCTGAAACTCTTCAAATAATTTCTTCCCAGGAACAGGTTCGCAATTCTATCCATTATTATTCTCATCTTGTTTTCCAAAAAAAATAAATAAATTGTTTTTATCCTTTTGGTGTTTAATGCATATTCTCTTTGGTGATTTATTGCATGTTATTTACGTATTTGCAAGTTCTTTGAGATACATCATTTATTTGTAATTGGGTGTTTTTTTAGACGATGTGAAGAATTTACAGATTTCAGGGATGATTAATTTATATTAGACAGTCTGGTTAATAACTTTTTAGTAGATTTTTCGTTTTTAATATCACTTTTTTTATTCGATTTTTTTTTTTTAAATGGATCGAAACTCAGTTCATTATACTGGTTTTGGTAAGCTTTCTTTGATTCTAACTAGGGTTAAAAGCTTGCAACATGCTTTGTTTTCTACCTCTTTTCTAAGTACTGTTACCCCAAGTGGTTCTAGTTACTACTAGAGTTGTACATATTTCATGTGATTTTTTTTTTCAATTTTCTATAAAAAATTTATGATTTTTTTTATGTATTTTCTTGTAAATTTTGTAAGATCCACAAAAAATGTCATATGGTAAGTTCTACAAATTATAAAAAAGTTTTAATACCTTTAATTTGTTAGACTAATAACTGGGGTTAAGAACTATTAAGGTGCTATTTTTTTCAAGTTTTTCCTTACAAAAGTGTACTCTAAACACTTGCAAGTTTTTATATTTGTATATTTTTACTTTCCAACGTACTTTTGTCTCAAATAAAAACCAAACATGGCCTTATTTGATGATAAAGCATTTTTCTACAACATATTTTTCTTTCTTTTACCAAGTCTGTATTATTGTTGTATTATTGTTAAAAAGCCTAACAAATTTGCTTTTTGTGGGGTATGTGTCGACCACTTTCTTTAATATACTAAGTTGATGATGATAAATATCATACTCAATGTTTTAAATTGTGGTTATAGTCCAAGTTTTGCCATAATAATTGAAACTGTAGAAAATAACAAGCTTATAGAAAACTTGAAAACCTTAACTTTGTAGTTGAATAATTCAAAAATTTATTTAAAAAAAATCAAATAATTCAGTAGTTTAATCCTTTTAAAATAATGATTATAATGCACATAATAGTGGCTTAGTTTGATTTTGGTGTCTAACTATACATTAAATTAACTGTTTGTTCAATTAAAGGAAGTTGAAGTTTTTTTGTTTTTGGATAAAAGAAAGTTGGAGTTGGAGTTGGGTTTCTGCAGCAATGGCACATGATAACAACACTTTTGGTTCTTCACTATCTGTAACCGAATTTGAGATGGTGAAACATATCATTGACATGCCAGACTTAGAGGAGTTAAGGTTGTCTGAGTGCAGCATCTACAAGATTCCTTACAATCTCCGAAAGGTGAACGTAGATGCCTACACCCCTCAGTGGATCTCAATTGGTCCAATTCACCTCAACAAACATGAACTGAAGCCAATGCAGGAGCACAAGAAAAGGTACTTCCACTGCTTCTGGGAGCGTGTCTCAAACGAACAAGCCATGAAGAGCTACAAGAACTACCTCCAAGACAAGGAAGAAAACATTAGAGAATGCTATGCAGACAAATTCCCCGACATCCCCAGAGAGAAATTCGTGGACATGATGCTGCTGGATGCTGTGTTCATCATGGAACTCTTGCTGAGAAACTGTCACTGGAAATCTGACAGATCCAAGCACGAGCAAGAGTACAAGCAAACCAAATCGTTTAGGGTGAGGCACAGTGATGATCTCATCTTGACACAGTCCTGGCTCAGCAGGAGCATCACAAGGGACTTGATCTTGTTGGAGAATCAGATACCCTTTTTTGTGCTTCAGAGACTCTATGATACTGTTGTTCCTAGTGACAGCAAGAAGGAGGAACACACTGCAGGGTTTGTTGATCTTGCCATCGAGTACTTTGCGTTCTATGACACCCAAATGTCTTCTTCTGCTGAAACCAAACGTGTTCTTGACAAGAACCAGTCAAGGAAAAACTACTTCAGTGGCTCACTCCGAAGTTCCAATAAACATTCTAGTAAGTCTAAGAGGAAAGATACGTGCAATAAGAGTACAAAACACTTCACTGATCTGATAAGGTATAACTCAATTGGCATTATTTAGATACTTCTATCATGGTTTTAAATTTTGGATCACAAAGGTATTTCAACCAACCACTAGTAAGTTGTGGCAGCAATTGTGGTCACAATAGTCATATTTGTCCATAACTGTGACTGACCGTTATTTAAAACCATGTTTTACAAATCATACCCTTCGTCAACAGCTATTATTCTTCTTATTTTCTCTTTCTCTGGGTGCTATAACATCTGAAATCCACCAATTTGTTCAGGTACTTTTATCTTCCCACAGATTGGGTGCGCAATAATGGCTGTGCCCTTCATGTGCTAAGAACGGCAACAAAGTTGCAAGAGTCAGGAGTGAGCTTTGAGAAAGATGTAAACAGAAGGTTACTAGACATAACCTTCGAGAAGAAGCCAATTCTGAGTTCCTTGCTTTGCTTAGGTTGCTTGCCATACTTGAACCACTTCAAGGCACGTTTTAGGATCCCCCAGTTGAAGGTGGATCACACAACTGAATGTGTGTTGAGGAACCTCATTGCCTTTGAGCAGTGCCACTATCCTGACAAGCCTTACATTTGTAACTATGTTTCTCTCATTGACTCTCTCATACACACTCAGCTTGATGTGGAGTTGCTGGTTGAGAGGGAAGTGATTGTGCATGAGTTGGGGAGTGATAAGGAAGTGGCAACCCTCGTTAATAGTCTAAGCAAACATGTTGTAGCAAACTCAACATGTTACTCTGAGACTATCAATGAACTCAACAAGCATCACCAGAACGTTTGGAACCGCACCATGGCAGCTTTGTGGTTGGTCTATTTCAGAGACCCTTGGAGAGCAAGTTCCACCGTGGTAGGGATTGCTGTGCTTGTTTTCGCCGTTTTCCAATTCCTACGTGCCGTTCGTGCCGTGTTTGATGGTAAAACTTAGATGCAATTTCTCATGTGTTGTTTGTGTTGTTATTCAAACAGAATTGGAGTTTCACGTCCATAATCTGCAGATACATGAACTTCTGAACTGAAACTCAATTCTAATTGGAAAATAACACAACAAACACCTAAGAAAATGTGCTTATATAAATGGCTTTCATGGTTCATCATATTAATGATTTTGTGCATATCCACTGCATGAGGTAATGAATAAAAATAAGGGAATGTAATCTCATGATCAATGCAACAAATAATGCAATGAGTCCTGAATTGTTTGTTATGATGCTGCTAGTGGTTAATTGAAATCCATTTCTCCTTAACACGCAGAAAAAAGTTGTTCATACACACGACTAATAGTCCAAAATGCTGTTGCTTTTTATGCGTGGAAAAGTCACAAACTTTAAAATCGCAAGCTTTAACCTTTCTAGCTTTCTCTATTTTTCAAAGTTATTAATATGAGCACCTTCACCGGGTTATCCATTTCTAGCATGTTCTTTTACTCGTATTCTCGTATTCTTCTAATAAATGGTTAGACTCTAATATAATTCTTCTTATCAAAATGATATAAATCTCTTTGGGCATATTCTTCTTATCAAAATGATATAAATCTCTTTGGGCATAATAATGTTACCATGACTTAAAAGTTCACTCAAATTCATAAAAAAGAGCATGTTACCATGATACACAAAATTCTCATAATAGGTAAGTGTAGAACATACTATTTAAGCACGGAATGATAATAAAAACTATATACTACAGACTTTCATAGAAGAGAAAACTTAGAGAGAGAACATTTTAAGGAAGAGAACTAGATTTTATTTAGTTATGATTGATTCTGAGTTACAACATTACAAGCCTCCTATTTATAAACAAACCACATAAGCAGAATTCAAAACTTAAGCTAAACTAAAATGAAATTCGAACCCAAAATCATTATACATGGTGGAATCTGAAGATAAGATTGCGACACTACAAGAAAATCGCGTATTACCGACAGATATTTACCGATGAATTTGTAACCATCGGAAAATAAATATTACCGACGGATATAAAATATCCGTCGGTAAAATAATAATTAGTTACCGACGGATATATCCGTTGATAAATCAGTGGGTAATTTACAGATGAATTTACCGACGGATATATCCGTCGGAAATTCGTCGATAAATTAATAATTAATTACCGACGGATATATCCGTCGCTAAATTCATCTGTAAATTACCGACGGATATATCCGTTGGTAAATTCATCTGTAAATTACCCACGAGATATTTTCAGTCGATAAATTAACAATTAGTAAATATTCAACTAATTAAAAAATAAATATTTTTTATTTAATAATTTAATTTAATCATAATTAGATTAATTTATAATAATTTCTTCAATTAAATAATTTTAAAAAATAAATATTTAATTATATATAAATATATAAAAATATTTAATTATAGATAAATATATATATATATATATATATATATATATATAAAAATATAAAAATATATAAAATATAAATATATAAAAATATAAAAATATAAAATATAAATATATAAAAATATAAAAATATAAAAATATAAATATATAAATATATAAAAATATAAATATATAAATATATAAAAATATAAATATATAAATATATAAATATATAAATATATAAATATATAAATATATAAATATATAAATATATAAATATATAAATATATAAATATATAAATATATAAATATATAAATATATAAATATAATTTATTTGTAAATTATTATCAAAAAATTCTAGTAGCTTAGTGGTTGGAGTATCAACCTCTAACCCGATGAGGTACTGGGTTTGAATCCTGCTAATGACAATTCTCTTAATCTAATAATAATTGAAGCCTATAAAAATATAATAGGGAAAAATAATTAATAATAAAAATTTATGAAATAAATAAGTTTATATAAGTAAAATATTTAATAAATAATAAAAATATTACCGACGAATTTTTGGTCGTCGAAAATCCGTCGGTAATATTAAAATTTCTTGTAGTGCGACCTACTTGGGACACATTTTCTTGTGCATCATCATTTCTTTCATTAATTCTTCATTGTAATCATCCGCTAAGTCTTCAACCTTTCGGAATTCTTCTTCGAGTACATAGATCTCAGTCGTTGATTTAAAAAAAATCTTATTTATCGAGATCTGTCTTTTTTTGGGATGATCATATTCAGAGGATAAGAACTAAGCGACCTTTGGGATGAGTTGACAATATTGGGGTACATTGACTTGTAATGGTAGTTGTTGACTTCAGAGAGGTGTCAAGCCAATTGCGTTATGTAACTTTCATCTAGAGGATAAGTCTCAAAATTTCCCTAGATGTAAACTTCATTCTTTAACCATAGTTGTCCTACAAGATTTAGAAAATATGGTCGGTAGATGATGAAGATTGAAGTGAGATCTTTGAGAGAGTATTTAGTTACTCCCCTTTGTCTTTGACAGTCTAAGATCCTTTTGAGTTGTTGTCTCCACTAAGACAGTGGTGAGAACCATTCGAGAAGAGTCTAGAAGAAAAACTTGTATTTATAGGGATCCATCAAAATTCTATAAGTTGTCTGTGTTTTTAATGCAATGGGGATGGAGTATTGAACAGTGTCACACCATATAGTCCAAAGTGTTGGTTCACAGAGATCCCAAACCGAGTCACAGAATAATTAAATTTTTTTCCCAAAGGGAATGTCAGGGTTAAACATGGAGGCTGAGATGGTTTTGTATTTTATGGTTTCATGGAGAAAGTAAAAGTAGCGAGATTTTGCATACTGGAGTAATTTGCCGGTGAGATTGAGTTCAGTCCAGGAGGATAGATTCTGACAATTTTTGCTTTGTTGGATAGAGATTTGACCATAAAAATGAGAGGAAGACTATAGGTGTCAAAAGTCAATTGGACAATTTTCTTTGGTCTAGACAGAAATAAGAGATTGTGTTTTGGTTTCCTTTGATGTGCTTAAAAGAAAAATCATACCTTGAAAACCAGTCCATTAATTGGAGAATCTGAGGACTATGAAGCATTTTATTTTTGAACTCTAGGATCCTTGGAAAAGAGGAGTTGTCCATCTGTACTTCAAAATGATATCCTGTGAGATGAATCTAGAAAATTAGATTAAATGAAATATAATTTTTTATTATATTAATACAAAGAGATTATATAAGATATATACAGGAGACCTAAGCTATTTTAGAAAATATAATAACTCTATTTTATTTTAGGATCCCTTGATTTATGGGATTGTCCCTAATTATTCAAATTTGTATAGATTACAAGGAAATATACAAATTTACTGATTTATTCTTTCCTAAAATACTATTTGATTTCCCACACTCCCCCTTAAGCTGGCGAATAGATGTTTTCCATTCCCAACTTGGATACAATCTTCTCAAAATTATGGCAGCTCAGTCCCTTAGTAAGAATGTCTGCAATTTGGTCTTGAGAAGACACATATGGAGTGCATATCAAGCCACTATCAAGCTTTTCATTGATGAAGTGTCTGTCTACTTTAATATGTTTTGTTCTATCATGCTGCATTGGGTTGTGAGCTATGCTGATTGCTGACTTATTATCACAATAGAGCTTTATAGGTTCTTCCCACTTTATCCTCAAGTCTTCTAAGATGATTTTAAGCCATAACAACTCACATATTGGGGTCTACCGGCTTGTAGTGATAATTATTGACTTTGCATAGATGTCTAGCCAGTTGGGTTCTGTAGCTATCGTCTAGAGGATAAGTCACAAAGATTCCTTACAGTGGCGGATCTTCTTAGGAACCGAGGGGGATCGTGCCCCCCCCCCCCCAAAAGTTTTGTAACTCCTATGTAATTTATGATTTTGACTCCCCCAAACTTAATGATCATTTAATATATTTACTTGTATATTTATAATTTTATCCTTTCAACCTCTCTTCGGTTTTGTAACTCTCATATAATTTATGATTTTACCCTCCAAACTTAATGATCATTTAATATATTTATTTATACATTTACAATTTTATACTATGAACTCACTATTTCATCTTCTTTCACCCCTCTTATATTTATTTATTATTTTTTTAATAATATATTATTTGGTCTCCCTAAAATCAATGGTCAAGATCTGCCACTGATTCCCTTTATGTATGCTTCATTTATTGACCATAGTTGCCCTACAGGATTTAGAAGGTATGGACAGTGGATGATGAAGATTAAAGTAAGATCTTTAAGGGAGTCTTCCATCATATAATTCTTTTTAGTTCTTGTCTCCACCAAGACATTGGTGAAAACCATTCCAATAAAGTCTAGAAATAAAACTTTTCTTTATAAGGATTTGTCAGAATTTTATAGGCCTATTGTGTTTTAATGCAATGAGGATGAAGTATTGAATAGTGTCACATCATATAGCCCAAAGTGTTGGTTTGCAAAGATCTTATCCAGGTTTACAAAATGTTTCAATTATTTCTCCAAAAGGTATATCAGGATAAAAAATGGTTGTTGGATAGGTTTTGTATTTCAGGGTTTCACGGAGAAAAAAAAGTAGTAAGATTTCGCATACTAGAGGATATCTGCCGGAGAGGTTAGGTTTAGTCCAAGAGGATAGACTCTTACAGTTTTGGCTCTGTTGGATAAAAGTTTGACCATAAAGATGAGAGGAAAAGTATGAGTGTTAGAAATTATTTGGACAAATTTCTTTGGTCTGGATAGAAAATCAGGAATTGTATTTGGGTTCCCTTTGATATGTTTAACAGAAAAATCATACCTTGAAAACTAGTCCATCAATCGGAGGATCTGAGGATTAGGAAACATCTTGTTTTTTAGTTCTAGGATTTTTGGAAAAGAAGAGTTATCTATTTGAATTTCAAAATGATGTCCTCTGAGATAGAAGTCAAACTTTTTTATTCAATTTTTGATAGTTAGGACTTCCTTGTAAGTGGTGTGATAATATTTTTCGGCATCTTTGAACTATCCACTAGCATGACCACAATAATACTTTTTGCCATTGTCTTCTTCAATGAGAACTACTCCCCAAATACCATTACTTGCATCCGTATTCTTTTTCCCTTGCCTGGGATCTTTAGAACTTGAGGAGTCTGAGCTATCTTCTTCAATTGACTCGCTCGAGTCTATTCTCGGTCTCCAAGAAGGAGGATTATTCCTTAGTAATTTGGACAAGAGACTTGTATATTTGACAATATTAAAAAAATATATTATTAATAAATAAATATAAAAAGTAAAAGAAAATGAAATGGTGAGATGATAAAATTGTAAATATATAAGTAAATATATTAAATAATCATTAAATTTGTGGAGAAAAATAATAAATTATACAAGAATTATAAGAAATTACAAATTATAAGACGACTTCCTTAATTTCCAAGAAAATATGTCATTGTTCATATCAAGTACCACCTCCATTATGTTTTGCTTTGCGCCTAACAAATGCATTGTGATAACTATCTTATAAATGGATTTAAAAATTAGAAAAATCGAAAAAAGAAATATAAACTAGGTTTCCTTTTTCGTAACTAATGTTCTATAACAACCTTTACAAATGAAAAAATTACTCATGATTTTGAAACCCCTAGAAACCTCCACTAGTTACTAACCCTCGACAATTAATTTGCCATGAAAATAAAGTGGTATTTGACAAGAAAAGAAAACATTAGAAATGGGAGATTAATCAGTTTCGAAAATCTTCTACCAACCTTTTTGGCAAGGATTCAAAACGAATTCATGATATAGTTTAGGTAATGACTATAACAAAGTTTTATTTATCAAATTATTAGAAGAAATTAAACGTTATAAATTAAAAAATGTATATATAGGTACAATTGATTTGGACATTAAGATCAATCAAACTATTCTATAAATCACTCAAGAATACATTTATATAGTATTGAGTCAAAGTCCATATTTGTATCATAACTTGTTAGAACATATTGAACCACAAGAATTGAAAATTATAGGCTGAAATAAACAATTAGAACAATATGAAAACATGGAGAAGATGAATATCTAGATGCATATCATATAAGTGCACAATGACAATTACCACTTGAATACTAGAAATTCAAGATAATATTTATGAGCGAGAAGTTCACGCCTTGAGAGATATTCTTTGCGAGGAGAGAAAAATGACACGTCCAATTTTTATTTTTTCCATGAGTGAGTTGCAAAGAGTAAATATAACCGTGTATATTGCTTGTGTCATAGAGATAAGAAGTTGAAGAATCTTATGATAAATGAAGAAAGCTTTTTTCACAAAAACATAAAACAAAATAACATGAAAAGAGAGGAGAGGGTTAGAAAATAGAGCTATTTTAATTTTAGTATATATATATAGATAGATAGATAGATATATCCCGTAATATTTTTTACAGACCAAATACAGTACGGATGAAAATGTGACAAGTCAAACCGCCTACGTGAGATGAAAAAAATATATACGTATTGTAAATACTTTCTAAAATACATATTTTAGATAACCAATCTATTCTTTTACTAAAAGCATATTATTAAAGCGTAATTTACTTATTTTTAAGTGGTTTTTCTATAATGTTTTGTATTTTTTGAAAGTAATATTCTCTTCTCTATTGCACTTTTTTATATGAAATAATTACAAGTAATTTGTTAAAAAAAATATATTTCTTATTTTTAATTTATCAAGAACTTTGATAAATAATGATTTTAAAGTTAAAAAAACATACAAGATAGTTGTCAAAATGTGATGAATGGAGCTAAAGATGAGAAGAGGCTAAGGATCCAACAGAAATTGATGATGTTGATATTTGGGTGGGGTGGGGTGGGGTTATAAATTTCACCTCTTTAAATGCATGTTATTCATTGGAATAGATTGGTAAACATCATAAAATTTATTTAATTTGGTAGGGTTATATCATGAAATGTTGTATTCCTTATATATAATCCAAATTATTTAAATTTCAAATTTAAATACATTATCACATGTGTTGTAAAAGATACTATTTTTCAATTGAAACAGAATTTCATATTAATGTGTAACAACTAATTTTATTATAATAAATAATATATTATCAAGATAAAAACTTTAAATATGAATAAAGAAAAACATCAATCATTTAGTATTTCAATCATTTTTAAAAGAAAAACAAAAAGCTATATTAAAATTTATAAAGCAGTGTCCAACTTTTTACTTATCGACTAAATATTATTCCAAGAACTCATCTATAGATAGTTTACAAATTTAATTATCAACTTTTTAGTATACCAGCTAAAAATTTGTAAAAATTAGTTAGAAATTGAAAAAATTTAAATAATATTTGTACTAATAATTTTAGGAAACTAAATAATATATTATTAATAAATAATAAATTAATATAAAAATAAAAAATTTAAAGAATATAAAATATTTTTTATTTAATATATTTAATGATTTAATTTAATAAAAAATTGGAATAAAAGATTAAAATTATATATATATATATATATATATATATATATATATATATATAGAGAGAGAGAGAGAGAGAGAGAGAATTATACGAATTTAGAGTTATTAGACATCAAGAGTTATATTACTCAGCTACTCTGGTGTTAAAGGACTCGTATAGTGCACAAAAAAACAACAACAAAAAGTCTGAGCTACCAATATTTTCATGCAATCAATTTCTGGGTCCTTGCATTACTTTTCATCGTAACCGGACAAACTATTTCCAGTCTTCCAATAATTCATTTTATCTATAAATCTGCCAACCATTAACAACACAATTTCAACAACAATAATGAATTTTGTTCTAGTGTACAAAGGACACTCTAAAGTTCAAGCACAAACCAGAAAAGACCGAGAAAAAAGAGAGTTTTGAAGTGAAGATCCAGAAGCTTGCAACTGAGAAATTGTGGGAGGAACCCGTCTTTCAGGTTCATGCAATGTGTATTAACACTAGTTTGTGATAAAATATACCTGCTTCATCATTGTAATATTTAAATTTTTTAATCACTTGGTTTAGGCCACTGTTTATGGAGTCATCATTTTTTCACTCTATAACTGTCATGATCTTTTATCATGAAAAGTCTACTCTAGCTTCTATGTTCTTCCCCCCTTTTTGTTCTACTTCTGGTTTTTCGTTTTGGTTTTGTTGGTTGTTTGTTTTATTTGTTACTTTAAAAGTTATTCTCTTTCCCCTTGTGTACTACTCTCTACTCCTTCTGTTTGTAGTCTACATGTAAAAATTCTACCTTTATTTTATGCAAAGCAAGAAGGCCTTTAACCAAAGGGACAAAGTCTTTTTTTTTTTTTTTTTTTGTTGAAAAATACCTTCACTTTATGTCTGTAAAGATGGATGGATCCTTTGTGTATCAGTGGAATCTGCCCTTTTCTTTTTCTAGGGTCACTGGCCTTATTTTGGAGAGATATGTGCACTATAGATGTCTTTTTACTTCTTTGTATTAAAATACATTTTTGTTGTAAGAGCATATTTTAATATTTACTTCCCAAGATGTTAAATATTGGTTTTCTTTAATATGATTCATTTCTCATAAAAACAGGTAATTTGTTGGAATTTTGATGTTCATATCTCTGCATTGCAAGTGTACTAAAGAAACAAGGTTTATCATTTTTTAAATGTTTTGAAAAGGAAGACAGTAGAAATACAAATTATGAACCATTTTAGCTTATTGTGAAGATAAACCTTTTCATTGTTGTCTGGAAGTCTCTGGAAGATTCTATAATCTTGATGATGTTTGCTATTTTGAAAACAGAAAATAAGTCAAAACAAGCATATTGAAAGTTGGAAAATGAAAACAGGAAATTTTGTTGCTCCTGATTTGTGTCAATCACTTTGATTCATTTGTCTGATGGCTATATGTTTACTCAACAGGACCAGTAAAAAGGGATCTCATGGGGTCTTCTATTGAATATCCCATCCAACACATAATTAACATCCCAGAAGAGATTGAACCTGCACTTTGGCCAGAATGTTGTATCTACAAGGTACCTACTAGTCTCTTGAAGTTTAAAGAGGTGGCCTACACTCCTCTATTGGTCTCAATTGGCCCAGTCCACCATAACAACGAGAAACTAAGGGAAATGCACGAGCAGAAACAAAGATATTTTCTTTTCTTTTGGGCACGCCTAAGCGAAATGAGCAAGCTTGATTTAGTGCAGTACAAAGCCTTCCTTGAACTAGAAGAGAAAAACCTACGCCGTTGCTACCAAAAGAAATTCCCTGATATCAGCAAGGAGCAATTTGTGGAGATGCTGCTGCTGGATGCTGTGTTCATCATGGAGCTGTTTCTGAGAGAAGCAAAAAAATGGGAACATAAGGAGGACTATCTAATAACTCATGGATGTGTTAGCAAAAGTATCCAGTGTGACTTGATGCTGCTTGAGAACCAGCTTCCAATAACAGTGTTGGAAAAACTATATGATGAAGTTGTACCAAGCAATGTCAAAAACCACACCAGATTTATTAACCTTGCTCATGAGTACTTTAGATCTTATTATCCCCATGAGCAATCTTCAGAAAACAAGTTTGAGCTAAGAAAGTGGGAGAAATCACTACATTTCACTGATCTAATTCGAAATTCCTATCTCCCCAAGAACCTGAGCAGTCAGAAAAAATGTACTCAAAAGGAGTGTATACTAAGGACTGCAACAAAGTTGAATGAGGCTGGGATAAGCTTTGACACGGATCAAGACAGATGCTTACTTGACGTTAAGTTCGAGAAGAAGCGATTCTTCAGCTGGTTTCTTTGCTTGGGTTGTTTGCCATGCTGCAAGTTGTTCAAAGCTCAGTTTCAGATCCCCCAGTTGAAAGTAGACCATACAACAGAATGTGTTCTGAGGAACCTAGTAGCCTTTGAGCAGTGTCACTATCCGGAGGAACCTTACATTTGCAACTACGTTTCTCTGATTGACTCTCTCATTCACACCAAAGATGATGCAGAGTTGCTGGTTGAGAAAGAAATTATTGTCCATGAACTGGGAAGCGATCAAGAATTGGCAAATCTGGTTAATGATCTAAGCAAACATGTGGTGACAAATTCAACATGCTACTACCAAATCATGGAAGATGTTAATGAACACTACAACAATGATTGGAAATGGGCAATGGGTACATTGAGGTGGGTTTACTTCAGAGACCCTTGGAGAAGCAGTTCTACTATAGTAGGGGTTGCTGTCCTAATATTCACCGCCTTCAACTTCTATCGTGTTACCGATCTACTCTTTTAGTAGATTAATTGAATCACCTTTTCTTTATTACATCAAGTCCGTGATTGCACCATAACTGTTTCATTTCCCATTTTCTTGTACTAGAAGTGGCTTGTTTATCATTGAACAAATGTATTGATAATTAATAATGGTTGCACATTTGTGTGATGAGGGTACATGTACATCCTGAACTCTGAGAGGTGCTAAAATAAGCCAATAACTTTTTAAAATAAGGCTATTTTAGTTGGTTGATTGTTGTTATAAGAACTTATATGGCTATGTAGTTGGTTGATTGTTACGAATTGATATACTCTCTGAGAAATAAGAACATAGAAGTAAAATTTGTTTAGAGGGAAAAGATACCCCAGCTTTTAAATGGATCCAGTTTGTTTAAAAATTCATTACGTGAGGAAGTTATGATCAGAACAAAAAGGTAGAATAATTATCCCAACCAGCATTTTACTTCAACCATTTCACTTGAACCCAAGTAACTACTAGCATCTAATCAAACCAAAACAAGTTAAAAATCACTTACCAAAATTAGAAAATAAAAATCAAATCCAAGATTCTAGATATCCCTTGTCAAATAAACAGTGAACATGGACAGAAGCTGAACCAGAAAAGACTAAAAATAACTGCTTACAATAAAATCATGCCAGACAATGAAACATTAGTCCTATTGATTAATTGGAAGCTCCTTCCGCTTATATCGGACCATCACTTTTCCCTTCACTCCTACAACCATGGCATTCCAGTCAATCTCAGGGAAAGGTGACACCAACTCCAGTTCAAAATTCCTCAGCAGATGAGTCCATATTGCTTTAATCTGCAGATATGCAAATGGCTCCCCAAGGCATCCATGTCTGCCCCCTCCAAACGAAATGTACGAGAATGCACCTGCCACCTTGTCCTCTTCCCTCCCAACAGAAAATCGATCGGGATCATACCTGTCAGGGTCCTTGAAAATGTGACCTAGCCTGTTAGCAAAAGCAGGTGATGTGGCAATTATATGACCCTTGGGAATGTCATACTCCTTCCCCTCTCGTGTTGTGACACTAAAATCACTGTGAGAGCTCCTCAGCAGCATGATTAGAGGAGGGTGGAGTCTCAAGGCTTCTTTGATGCACCTATACAACACATCCATTTCAGCCAAAACATCATGATCAACTCTGTCCCCATGCTTTTCCATCAACTGCTTCTGCTCCTCCTGCACAGCTGAAAGATACTGGTTGTTACACAGCAGATATGCCCCAGTCCAAGTGGAGGTAATTGAACTTGTGTGTTGACCCGCAAAAAGAGCAGCAATGAGGAGTCCAGTCACTTCAGCTTCAGTAGTTGGACGACCATCTTTGTATTTTGAGTCGATGAAGCACTGCAGCATGTCATCTTCTGATTTGCTGGAACTTTTGCGAGAAGCTATGATGGTTGCAAAGATTTCAGCAAGCTTCTTGCGTGCCTGATCACGGCGCTTGTGAGCTGGGATAGGCAGGTATGGGAAGAGCACACTGATTGGAAGCATCCCATTATCAAGATCATGGAACAATGCAGAGACATCATCGAAGAGCTTGTCCCGAACTTCACGGCCCAAGAGACATCTACTGGCTGTCAAGATGATCAGATGCTCAAGCTCATACTTCAAATCAACCTCACCACTTGGTCCCCACTTTGAGAAATAGTCCTGCAAATTCAGTTTGTATTTGGGATAGAACAGCCTTCAATGCCAATTGTTATATGGTCAAGAAAAATTACCAAGTTAGGAGTTTAATATGAACAACATAAAAAAAAAAAACAATGAAAACTGTCATGTTTGATGCCATTTCACCATAGTGAAGTCTAAATGGAAATGAAGAACTTGTCCAGGTTAATATCGGAATGAATTCAAGTAGCAGTATACCTTGTTTTCAATTAAACCAGGAATCACGCTACAATAAGACGAGAGTTCGACTCATAATCATTGATGAAAATTTAATAGTCTATTCCCTGGAAGAAAATCACTGTAGTCCAAAACATTCTTATCTCAGATCCCACGGAGTTGGATAAGGCTGTTCAGTTAGTTATTGTTGCATAAAAGTAGGAATAAGCAAAGATCTTCAGAATACACAGATCATCATGACAGGTATTGCCATTGACCAACAAATCATTGAATTGAATGCCCAAACATGCAATACATCAAGTAACAACAAAAAGAGTCAATTAAATGTTCCTCCAGTCCCCCGATCCATCATTACACACCATAAAAATCAAAGAAAAGAAAAGGGTTAATGGTGTTCATCATCCCTGTAAAATTGGCAATATTTGGCTTTTAGTCCTAACTTTCAAAACCATCAGTTCAACTTTGAATTCTGGCATATTTTAAGCCGAGGGATGAAAGTTTGGGCTTACAGAATACATGGAGGCAAAGTGGAGGTTTCAAAAAGTGCGGATTTGAAAATTAAGGGCAAAAATGAAAAACCTAAGATTGTCAATTTTAAATCCAAAATAAAATAACCAAACAAATTCCTGATGGCAATGATTAAAACCAAGACCAATAGAGAACACAATTACACATAGACATGAGACACCATCGTATTAGACCAATCAGCAAACAGCAACAACATCAACAAAAACTAACATGCAAACAAACACTAAGATGCATACCACCAACACACATACCTCTGCTTCTGCAACCATCTGATTGACATAACTCTTGAGTTTGTTGACCCTAAGAGCCTCAGTGAAGAACCTGAACTGTTCCTGTCTCACAGAGTAATCAACATCAAAGACCACCCCAGGTCCAAAAGTTGGCACATTGAACTGGTACACCTCTTGCTGGCTGAGATCAGTCTCTGGGGCCTTGAAGAAGTGTGCAGAGACCTCAGGGCCAATGAGGAAGGTGATGTTCTTGTGGAAGAGTTTGAGGGTGAAGACACTCCCAAGCTTAGGGTACTCCTCACGGAGCATAAAGATTGGACCCTTCAGGAAACGGACAAGCCCTCCAATCAAAGGCCACCCCTTCACAAATGGGGGCACCCTCTTCCTGGATTTGGGCACTATGAAGGCTGAGATGAGTTTTGCCACAAGGATTGTGGCAAATAGGAGGAGGCCAGTGCTCAGAAACCTGCTGTCAATTTCCATGGTTGTTGTGTGTGATGTGAATTGAGGAGTGGAAGTGATGAAAAGATGGGATTATATGTGATGTGTTTTGGATTTTGATTAGGACAATTTTTGGTGATGAAACCAATGACTAAGAAGGTCACAGATCCAGTGACATGGGTAGATCTGTGTAATGTTTGTTACAGTCTGTGGTGTCTGTGTGGCCACTAAGGAGTGTGAAGGTTCAATTGCAAATTTATAGGGTGAAATTGGCTTAGCTGGGCTCACAGTAATCAAAGGGTTTGGAGGATGAAACTGTGGGTTAGGCTTTGGAAGGATATGACCAAGATGCATTCACGGACCGAATATTTTGGGGTTAATTTTCTATCAGCTTAAGGGGGCAATTGGAACTATGGAAAAGTTTAATTCTTTTGAATTTTCTTAATTTGTATATCAAAAATAGAAAATAATTGTGGTTACATCTTCTATTAATAGACTTTTTTTCATAAATAATACTGTTTTTAAAAATATTTTTCAAAATAAGCACATCTGCAACTTTATTTACATAACTAAGCATCATTCATCGTTCACGTAATAAAATAATATTATTTTGCGTAATTGTTCATCGTTCACGTATTAAAATAATATTATTTCGCGCAATGAACTCTCGCTCAGCGAAGAAACCCCTCGCTTGAGCGAGGAAATCTGTAACAAAGGGGTAATCTCGGGTCAATTATCACTCAAGCGAAGAAACCCTTCGCTGAGCGAGAAATCCGTAAGAAAGGGTTATCTCCGGTCAACTCTCGCTCAAGCGACGGCTATTTCGCTTGAGCGAGAAGTGATTAAAATATGTGGTGACCCAAGTTGCGTTATGTGGCTAACTGCGTTGGACGTTTAGCCAAATAAACAGAACCCAATATTAAACATAGACGAACCAGAGCCGGGAGAGAACGAACGTTTCTTTTGCGTGCGCCGGCGAGAGAGATGCATAGTGATCGATGTTCTCCAACTATAATCGATCATTCTCAATTATAATCGGTTATCCACAATTATGATCGATTATTATCCAGTTATATGCGATCAGTTTGACATATATGACTTTAGATAGCGGTTATTTGGCCAACCGCTATCTAAAAAACATTTATGATATAAGAGAGCAGTTACAGCCTAACCGCTATGTCATATATATATTTAAAAGCGGTTCTTAGTAACCGCTATCTAAGGTCACTCAAGCGAAAAACACATCGCTTGAGCGAGGACACCTGAAAAAATGGGTGGTTCTCGGGTTCTGTCTCGCTCAAGCGACGTTATGAACGCTTGAGCGACAAGTGATTCTAATATGTGGTGAATCAAGTTATATTATTTGGCTAACTGCGTTTGATGTTTCATCATTCGGTCAACACTCGCTCAAGAGACAAAGTCATCGCTTGAGCGATGAAGCCTTCAAACAAGGGGGACTCTCGGGGTTCTTCTCGCTCAAGCGACGGGTACTTTCGCTTGAGCGATAAGTGATTGAAATATGTGGTGACCCAAGTTGCATTATGTGGCTAACTGCGTTGGACGTTTAGCTTGGGCAATTTGCGCTCAAGCGAGAAAACCATCGCTTGAGCGAGGAAACCTGCAACTATTTACAATGCTGAGTCAGCCACCGAAGTCAGGATTCCCATGTCTTTCTGATGCACACAAGTAAAGAATCCAATGCTGAGTTACCCACCTAAGTTAGGATTCCAATCTTGGATTCCCTGCATTGGGTTAGACAAAAGCAGAAGAATCCAAACATATTTAAAGAGATGTTGACCCACCCACGTTTCTTGTGTTTTGTGTGCGTCAGAAACCATGTGAGGGAGCATTGGATTCAAACCAATGGACTTCATTATAAATAGACTACTTTCATTCTTTGAAGTTCTCACATTGCACACTCCTAAATCTCTGAAGCTATTTGCATTATTTCTTCTTCTTACCTTTAGTCTTCTTTGTGTTCCACACTCCTAAAATGGGTGTAGTATCTACTATTGTCCACTATGATGGTTTCATGAACCCATGTCCCATGGAGGGAGTTACCTTCAATACTGGGACTGCAAAACTTGTTCCTTTAAAGAGAGGAATTTCTCTACAAAGGTTGAAGAAGTTGATCCACAAGAAATTGGAGAAAGAACCCCATGAAAATGTAGCAACCATCCATTTTCGCTGTCCAACTAGACTCGGAGTTGGGATCAATAAATTCATTGCTGTTGAGTTGAAAGATGATGACGACGTGGAGGCCATGTTCGATGTGCATGATTCAAACTCAAGTCTATGTGGTATTGAAATTTTTGTTTCATTTAAAACTTCTTCTTCTTCATACCCCAACACACACTCACCAGAAATTTCACCCTTACCCTACCAAGCTTTCCCAAACACTCACCCAGAAATACCCACACATAATGACTACATCCCTTTTACCCAACTTCTAAGTGGCCCTTCCACCAACATCAACGAAGAACTACCCACACAAGAGAACGAAATTGTTGGCCTCCCAATTGAAGTCGTTGATCCTTTTAGTGAGGATGAAGATGAAGATGAAATTCTCAGCCAACACCAAGATGATTCAGAGGACGAACAACCACATATCCCCACACATGCACCAAACTTCATGGAACCATACAACCCACCACAACATTTTCTTAACTTTGAAAATCACATTCAACAACAAGACCCAGAGTATGGTCATGCGTTGGACAGAGAGTCTTTTGTTTCTCCGGCAGGAACTCTATTTCTTGGACAACGTTTCATAACAAAAGAACAAGTTCAAGATGTCATCAACCACTTTCACATTGTCAATCACTGCACATACAAGGTGAAAATTTCAAACCAAAGTAGATATGTTGTTGAATGTGGTGATAACCAATGCAATTGGAGATGTCGAGCAATATTGCGCACAAGAGGGCAATATTGGGAGATTATGAAGCTTGAAGGGCACCATACATGTGTTTCGCCATTAATCAGCCAAGACCACAACAAGTTGGGATATAAAATGATTTCCCAAACAATTGGTCAAATAATTGATGCTGATTCGTCAACACCAATATCCACAATCATAGCCCACATCCAATTAACAACGGGTTACACTATAACATACAGGAAGGCCTGATTGGAAAAACAAAAGGTAGTGGAGATCATCTACGGCAATTGGGAGGATTCGTATAAGAAGTTGCCTTGTTTGTTACAAGCGATGCAACAATTTGTTCCCGGATTCATCTACAAACTGCAGTCACAACCAGCTTACCAAGGTGAAGTCCTTCAACAAAATTCAAATATTTTTAAACGTCTGTTTTGGGCGTTTAGGTCATGCATAGATGGATTTGTTCACTTGCAAGCCCATTGTTCAAGTGGACAGAACTTTTTGTATGGAAAATATAGAGGTACCTTGTTGGTTGCGGTAGCACAAGATGGCCGCAACAACATCCTCCCCATTGCGTTTGCGGTGGTTGAAGGTGAAACAAGTGATGCCTGGTTTTTTTCTTAAAAAACCTTCAAAGATATGTCACACCCTAGCAAGGATTATGCCTCATATCGGACCGACATGAATCCATTAGAAGTGCATACATGAGAAATGGAAGCGGATGGACGAGAAAATAATTCAATGCATGTCTATCGCATTAGACACATTGCACGAGAATTTTATGAGACATTTCAAAAACACCTGCACCGAGGAAAAATGTTGTAAATATGGGTAATTCCTTTGCTTCAAATTTGTTACAATTTATTCATTATTTAATTGTTGCTAATAAATATTTATATTAACTATGTTTTTTTAATATTGTTGTAGCGTATGGGATGACTGAACCACGATTCTACTATTATTACAACATCTTGAGGCAATGTGACATAAAAGCGAGCTAATTGGTTGGATGAGATACCTAGAGAAAAATGGGCACTTGCATGGGACAATGGGCGACGTTGGGGCCACATGACGACCAACATAGCAGAGTCTATCAACTCTGTTTTGAAAAAAACAAGAAATCTACCTATTTGCTCCATGGTCACCGCAACGTACACCCGTTGCAACAAATTTTTCATTGAAAGAGGGAGACAGATAGATGCCATGATCAATGCTGGTCATGTATACTCTGAAATTTTGGTCAAAAATTTAGAGGAAGCACAAACATAGACAAACACGCACAGGGTCATAACGTTTGACAGGTCTACCACAAAATTTGTAGTAGAAGAAACACAAAACCCGCGTGAAGTTCGACCAGCAGGGAAGTTTGCAGTTCACCTTGATGAGTTATGGTGTGACTGTGGGAAATTCCAAAAATTTCACATGCCTTGTTCACATGTTCTTGCTGCATGCAAGCATGCACACCATGACTTCAACAACTATATTAATTCAGTGTATACCTTACAACAAGTTTCAAAGGTATACGGAACACAATTTGGGTTATTGCGAAATGAAGAGTATTGGCCAACATACACAGGACCTACTTTGTGTGCAAATCCAGAAATGAAAAGAACTTCAAAGGGCCGACCAAAATCAAGTCGTATAAGAACTGAGATGGACATTACAGAACATCAAAGTAGGATTAAAAAATGTTCATATTGTCATACCCCTGGTCATAGCAGAAGAACATGTTCCAATGATGCAAGTGCATCTACTTCGCATCATTAGATTGTGTTAGTTAAGAAATGTCTCAATGTATGAAACGTAGGAGTTTTTCAATTAATTGAAAGTGATGAAGATCTTATTGAATCATTTGATGAAACGAAGATCTTTTGAGTTTGATGAAATCAAATGTTATTTAAGGAACTTTTTGCTAACTATTGATGCTTGACAGCCCCACAACCTCAAGCACTTTAACCCTGAGTAACCAACCAACCATCAGTCAAGAAATTTTAAATTCTCTTTACATGCTATCATCCCCATATTCACCTTCAATGAATCAATTACAGTCAGCTACAAGTAAAACAATACAGAAACAAGATAATTTCATAAACAGAACAAACTCCCCTTTCAGCAACATCATATAATGTAACCTGGGTCACCTGCAGGTTTCCTCGCTCAA